TCGGTCCCCCCCCCCCCCAGCTCCAGCCCTCGCCCGATTCAACTGCCTGGCACTGGCAGGGAAGTGATGAGGAGTGAGCCAGCCGTGCCTCACGGGAGCTCCAGGGCTCCTTCCAACTGCAGCTGAGCTCCACGTGCGGGTCTGCAGCAGAGGAGGGACAGGACTCCGGGCAAAGGGCTGCCCTGTCCTGCAGCCAGCACACCCCACAGGGGGAATAGCCAAGTGCCAGCAAAGCACGAGGCTCCTCTGACTGTCACAGCCCTGCTCAGCCCAGGGATTCAAGCCCCGAGCTGTGGTTTCCAGCCCAGAGCCATAATCCCTTCCAGAGACTCTCCCTCTGCCTCCTTAGAATGTCACGTGTGCCTGAAGTCCCTGCTCCAGAAAGGCTTTTCCATCTCCGCAACCACCAGCCGTGACAGTGAATTTCTCACACTCCCCACCACCTCATCAGCATTCTTCTCCACAGCCACTACTAAAGCATCTTTGATGTGGCAGCTCCTCCACTGCAAATCGCTGCTCTGTCACATACCTCGGGTGGCTGGGCAGCTGTGGGAGACCCGTGGGCACCCCGTGGCACAGGCACGCTCTGGCAAACCCCTGCGAGCTGCAGCAGCCCGTTTCTCTGGCACAGGCAGGGCTCCAGGTCTGCCAGCCCCATCGAATCCCTTGAGGGGTCTCCTTGGGGACCTCTGTCTCCCCACAGCCCCTCAAGCATTGCTCCTGGTGACAGCAACAGGATGACACCCCCTCCCAAGCAGACTGTCACCACTGCAGGCAGGGTCTCAGCCCCGCAGCCAGCTCCAGCCCAGCCCCCTCCCCGGCGCAGGCTCTGCTTTCAAGGCAGGGAAGCTCCATACCTACAAAGAGCACGAGGCAGGGCCCCTCGTTCAGCTGCACGGCGTTGGAGTCCGTCAGCTCCAGCACGGGCTTGGGGTGCCAGGGGAACTCGCGGCACTCAACGTCGTTCAGCACCTCCACCCGGCCCTGCCGCGTGATCACCTCTCCCTGGGGGTCCAGCACGATCAGAGTCGGGATGCCTGGGAGGAGAGGAAAACAGGGTGGGATGAGCCAAAGCACAGACCCGGGCAGAGACAGGGCGTGGGGAGCAAGGCCCTTCCCCATCGGCTCCGCCTCTGGCAGGAGCCCAGCGAGCTCGCCGCCTCGCCGCAGCTCCAGAGTCTGGGAATGGAGGTCCCCAGATCCTGTTTCCATCCTAGCAGAGTGCTAATTCTGCACTGATTTCTCCCTCAAGGAGCCCAGTGAGCTGTGTGCCAAGAGGCTGGGATGGACGCAGGCCCGGGTCTGTCAGGGAATGGCACACAGGGAAGAGGAGACTCCCTCACATCCTGGTGCTGGCTCATGGATCCCAAGCACGAAACCAGCTTCATTTCCCCAGCTGGGGCCTAGAGCTGCTTGCTGCTGAGCACAACGTCTCTGCCAGCCCTGGCACAGCACCAAGCAGGCACCCTCCTGCAGAACAGGGGTGGGGTGGAGATCCTGTTGGAGTAAGGGGTCTCTTGCACAAGAGCTTGTGTAGTTATGGCCAAGCGAAGTGAATTTGCCTTGTGGATTTAGTGTTAGTGGAAGATGTTTGAAGACTTGTTTATGTTTTCAGGTATTAGGTTTAAAAAAAAGTATATCAAAGTATATATATATGTCCTAGGTTCTTCCTGCAGCTTGGACCCTTGGGAAAGGGAGCAACACGGGTGTTTTGCTTCATTTGGGGGATGAAAAAGATAAAATGAGAGATAATCAGTTAAATATGTTCCTCTATACAAAAAGGGACAGTACAGATCTTCCCCAAGACATCCTTCCTGAGACTAATGAAGCAGGATTTTTGTCCACTGGACAGTGGCACTGGGCAGGATAGAGCTCAGGGAACACTCAGTGAAGTTCTGGCTGTCGGGACTAAGCAGCATTTTACCCTGAGATATGGAACTGGAAAGCCCCATAATAAAGGAGAAGCCTTATAAGGGAGGGGAATGTATCTGCAGCAGGGATTTAGCACGAGTCACCTACTGAGATGTGGCTGGGCTGGCAGGGGGGCAGGGCAACCATCCCATCAGATAAGGCAGGACAAGGCCTTCTGGCCACTAAACAGTCCCTGGAGGGTCAACAGGAGAGGCTCATGTTGGAGACTGCATCTGGGAAGCACAGCATCCCTCTGTCATCGAGGAACAAACTTCCCACAAGGAAGGAACAGGGGGGAGTTTGGGCTCAGGCCCCAGGAGATGAGTGAAGTGACCAGTGTCAGTGGCAGGCACTGCTGTCTGCTTCTCATCACCCAGGCTTCCATCTGCTCATTACCCACCATCTCCTTCAGCCAGCAACATCCCCCAAACCACAACCAGCAGAGGAGGCAACACAAATCCTCCTGCACTCATCCAAAGGCTCATTTTAAAGCTCCCTGGAGGTGTTCAAAAAATGTGTATATGTGGCACCTGGAGACAGGGTTTAATGGTCATGGTAGTGTTGGGTGATGGTTGGACTTGATGAGATCTTCTCCAACCTCAGTGATTCTATGATTCTGTGGTTCATTCATCAGAAATACTCTGCAGAGCCACTCTCTGAGCCGGGGGGCACCGTGCTTGCCCCTGCCAGACTCCTGGCACTGCACCCCCGTGGCTGTACTACAGTGGGTTACTCAGAAGCCCTCTGAATTCCCAGCATTTCTGCAGGGAACACGTGGCCATCTGTCTGTCCCAGGCCTGCCTGCAGGTCGGGGCAGCAGCTGCATTCCCCTCATTCCCCCTCACATTCCTGCCTGTGTGCTGGGGCTGCCCCAGCGCTGGCACCAGCAGGAACCCGCCCAACACCCCGCTTGCAAATCCTAAGGGTATGCCAAGAAAACCATTTTATATCACAAAAAGCCTTATTCATTACCTGCTGCTATTCAAAATAGCTCCAGGGCAGGGATGGGTTAAACAGACTGAAAGGAATTGGGAAATCTCACTCTGGCCCTGCCCTTCAAGGCACAAAGTCTTACTGAAGCCAGGAGAAGCACACAGCATCCCCCAGGACTCGGATCTTTATCCATTTAGGATTCCCAGCCCCACTTTTCCATCCTCTCCAGACCTGCACAACACACAAGGAACAGGCTAAAAAGGTGGGCTCAGCTCAGTACCCTGTCAGCAGTCAGTCTGAACAATGCATAGTACCATGGAAGAGATTTCAAATGAGCTTTGCTGATTGGGGAAGATGAAGGGCCCAGTTTAGATCGTTGTGAGCAGGATCCCACAGCTATCAGAGACTCCATCCACTACCCAAAGCATTCCAACTTTGCCTGACTTGTGCCTGACACACATCCCCTGCCCAAAGCCCCCAGCCACAAATGCAAAACTGACTCAGAAAACAGAGTGCAAGATAATTCATCCTGGGTTTAGCATGTTCAGGAGATACAAGTACAGCATCCAAAAACTCAGGGGGCTGGGTTTCCAGTTCGTGAGGAGGTGTGTGACATGGGCTGGGTCCCTCCCTGCTCCTTTTGCCCTGTGTCAGAGGCTTCTCACCAGCCACAAAGCTCTGCTTGCCTTTCTGGACCCACCTGGAGAAGGCTGAGGCTGCTGCAACTCATCTGCTCCTGGTCCTGATCATCACTCCCTTGTCTCCTTCCTGCACATCCCTGGCTGAATCCCAGGGATTAGGACACAGCCTTACCAGGCTCATGGTAAGGACCCATCTCACCTCCCCTGGCAAACACATCTCTGCACGGGACACAGACCAGCAGGACCCATCCTTAACCTTTTTCACACCTGCTAATCCAAATCCTCCTCCCCACAGCCTCCCCCTCCCTGCTCATCCCAGCCACTATTTGTTATTTTAGTGCCTTTTGGGGGCTTTGGTAATTGCCGTGAGTCATAACATCAGAATTTACTTATCAAGTAGAATCCCAGATCAGACACTGGCAATGAATATTGTATAAGCTTGGATCAGAATTAGCATAGACAGGCTCAGTTTGATTTTATGCATTAGAAAATGGATTCAGTCCCCACGGGGCCAGCATTTTATGAAAACACAGGGGCCAAATGATTTGTTACCAAGCCTGACAATACATTTACTTACTTACATATTAAACCCCATACACGACATGGAGATCTCATCTGCAGTAAGTCTGTTGGGTGAGCAGTCAAAATCATGGTGAAGCAAACACTCAGAATGCATCAATCATGGGAAGGGAGGTGGGTTTTATTGCCTTCTTTTTTTCCCCCCACCTTTTGAGAAGAAACCTGGTATGAGAAGCCTCCTGTAAGAGTGACTCCCAGGCTGCCCCCACCAGCCAGGCATCTGGCCTAAAGCCCCAGGCAGGGGGAACTGACAGGTTTTGGAAGTTCCCCTAAAGGACTGCAAATCCCAAAGACACCACAGAGTCCACATTCAGGAGCCTAAAATCTCTCCCAAGATGCACAACACCAGGGGGCAATTCCCACGTGAGTGTAACACTTCTCACTGCTCCCTGTGCCATGGAAGGAGAGGTAACATCAGGGGATCTCCCCTCAGGCAGGACCATGTGCACCAGGGGCAGCACACAGAATCATTTCTAAGCAGCCACTACACAAGACATGACTCTCTCTCTCTCTCTCAAGATAGTGCTGCATCCAGAGGCAATTTAATATAGGTGGGCAGGGAACAGCCCACTGACTGCACATGGGCTATGAATAGAGGCATTCAAGTAAACCCAAATAAAGGCCAATAACTCAACTTGTGTTTTACACTGAGTTTTTGAATGCCGTAGGGGCCAAGAGAGAACTAAAACAACAAGAGATTTTACTCTCTTGCTGCTTTCCACCACTCAGGAGCTTTGGGCATTCAGGGAAGACAAGCTCCTCTGTTTTTTCAGCTCCCAGCCTTGCAAAAGCCAGTGGAAGACCCACCCCACAGGCACACTGCTCTCCCAGCCCAAGGCACCACCAGGACAGGAACAGGACACTGATAGGCTGCACACTCTTGCTGCTGTGTAGGTGCAGCTCCAAAGGGGGCAGGGCAGAGGAGATTACGTGGGTCCAGCTTTTCACTGAGGTGGAATAATCACCAGTGGTGATGAGCTGAGCCCACAGCATCTAGTTCTGATGGCACAAAGCTTTTGCCACAGCCAATGTGGCAGCCTGGCTGCAAACCTCAAAGTTGGTGGGGAGGATCCTGAGTTGCTGCCTGTAGAAGGCTTGACAACAACCTGGAGCCCCTGGGAGCAGCACGAGGGGTCACCTCCAGCCCTCTCCCAGCACCCTCCCCACAGCACCCTGCTGCCCCCAGGTCACAGTGGGGAGCAGAGCCCAGGCCAGCCTGGCAGAGCCCGTGCAGGCAGGAGGGGAGGTGGGACAGTGATGCCTCCTGAGCAGGGTGCAGACCAGCCCATCTCCACATTTCAACACTGCTTTGTGGGATCACAGCCCATCCCTGCAGAGAGGTTCCCACTCTACAGGAAAACCATGGCAGATAAGCAGAAGGGTTTGCACTCAGACATGCCCAAATCCCAAGGTCGGTGTCCCTGGGAGAGCAGCTGAAATGCAGGGATAATCTGGGAGCTTCCCTGGCAGAGGAAGGCACTAGGGCTCAGGGGAACAGCAAGTATTTACATTTTCAGGTCAGCACACAATGGAGAGAGATATTTAAGGACCCAGAGGCTGGAGTTAGAGGGAAAGCTGTTGTCACTGTTTCCCTGGCTACAGCACGCCCGGTGATCAAGTATCCACGGCTGGACACCTTATTTACAGAAAGTCCCAGTGAAACTGGCAGCAGTCCTGCACCACTCAGCTGAAACCAGCACTGGAAAGGTTTGGGAGCTGGCTGGGGAGAAGATGGATGAATTTGGAAAGTCCTTGCCTCATGGGAAGGTAATTAAACAGCCAACCAATGGCTATTTAAAGCAGGCAAATTGGTTTTTCTTGGTTTAAAGACAGGGAATAGAGCTGAGCGATGGCACCTGAGCTCACCCCAGAATGGGTGCTCAGAGAGGACCCAAAGGAGGAATTAGTTCTCCCACCACTCTCCCCAGGCCCTCAGCCACCTTTGGCAACATTCCTCATCCCCTACAAATGGCATTAACGCCCTGCCAGCCTGTGCCCACCTCACCAATGCTGCATGGAAATGGCTAAGAAACAGGCACATTGCAGCAAGACCCTACAAGCACAGGGAGAAACTGTACGTAGAGAACACCTCCTTGGGAGCCAGCACCTCACATGTCTCTGTGCTGCAGTTTGTCCCCTGCAGGAACAAGATGCCAGTCCCCAGGGGGGCTGCTGTGAACTTTTATCATCTTCGTGACTCTCTGAAGGCACCCAGACAGACAGAGTCTCTCCCCTGCCCCTCTGAGCAACTGGGGCTGCTGGAATTCTGGCACTGGCATGTACAGTAAAAGCAAAGCCATGGTTTACATCAAACATGCACTCTGCTGTAATTCATGTCACTAACATAAACCAGATGCCATCTTGCTGAGCCCCTGCAGAGAACGACGGAGCTGCCTTTGCGCTACAGAAAACGGCAACAAAATGAAATCTAAACCTTCAAGAAAGAGCAAAATAAATAAATCAGTAATTAAGCAAAAAACATCCACGCCAAAAAAACAGCTTCCAAGTTTCCAGGAAGAATTAGGTTGTTTATGGAAGTCCTGTTTCAACTAACAGCCTGCCTGGCAGGTGGTAGGAATGCGAGTTTGCAGAAAGCAGAAACACGAAGCGGCTCTGCCTGGGGCACTGTGCTTTGCTGTTTCCTTGTTCCAGTTAAACAAGAGGAGAGGTTGCAAACACAAAAGGAGCAGGCAGGGGAGCTCTGCGTGGCCGTGGCCTCTCCTACCTTGGATGCCATAGAGCCGGTTCAGGCGCGACCGCCGGGCCTCGTCGCCGTACGGCACGGCCACCCAGGGCATCTCACTGAAGTACTGCTTGAAGGAGTCCTCCGACCTGTGTGAGGGGAACATGCGTGGGGTCCAGGCACAGCCCCTCGCCCACCAGCCTCTTCCCTCTCGTTAAAACCTGGCCTGCAAAGCCCTTTATCCCCCCCCAAAAAGCGCGCCGGGAAGAGCTGCTGGCAGACGCAACCCGGGGAGAGCCAGGCCAAAGTCAAAGCCCCCAGTCCCTCAGGAAGGGGTGAGTTTTGACCCTGATAAAATATTTCTCATTCTCTGGGGCATCTGAATGTCAGCCCATGCATGGCAGCTCAAGCATCCTTCAGACCTCAGACCCATGAGCCCCATAACAAAATCCAGGAGCTTTCTGTCTGCCCCACAGACAGAGCCTGCTCTCAGCCCCCCGCTGCCCTCACTAGGCCCACTGCTGGGCAGAGGGCAAAGGACTCGGGCAGCCTTGCCAACGCCAGAGCCAACCTGCTCTACCCCAAATCCAGCTGCCTCCTCAAATCAAACCAGCAACGCTCAGAGCTCGGGGACAGCCAGCTCTGCCTGCACAGGGTGTTAGTGTCCCATACCTGTCTGCGCTAACGAAGAGGATCTCAAACTTCTGCCCTGCCTCCTTGATTTTCCGGTAGGACTCCACCAGGACCCTTGTGAGGCTTCGGCACGGTGGGCACTGCAAAACACAACACAGGCACGATGGCATGGCCTCCTCCTCCCCAGGGCCAGACCCAGCCACACCCAGCAGGTCCAGGTGACCTAGTGACCATGGAAAGACAGATGTGACCTCATCTTTGCCAGGCAGCAGCCCTGAATGTGGCTGGGGCTTATGGCCTGTCAGTTATCAACAAAATTTCTTCCATTTTCAGAGTCTGACCACTTTTCCTCTTCTGAAGGGCAGGATGAGGATGAGAGGCCACCACAGCTGCAGCTTCTTCGAGAATGATCAGAACATCTTAACTGCTTCAAGGCCGGCTGGCCCAAGGTCTTTACTCTCCCACAGAGCTCTGCAGCAAGAGCCAGAGGGGGATCCCCAGAGCACCCCCGAGCTCATGCCAGCTGCTCTGCAAAGCTCCTACTACTCACCCAGTGTGCTGAGAAATAGACCCCAACGTGCGAGCCCTCCAGGGCACTGCTGTCCAGTGTCTGGCCGTTGTTCCTTAGCAGAGGCCCAGCAACAACTTCACTGAAGGGTTTTGGTCCCCAGGGGAACTCCAAACCTGGAGGCATCAGGATGGGGTTGGAGAAAAAACACAAAACAGCAAGATGAACATGGAGCCTTTATAGTTTTAAAATGTTACACCAAAAATAAACCCATCCCACCTTCTGCAAAGATATGAGGGAGCCAGGAAAGCCAAGATCTGTACTGGAGCCAAGATCTGTACTGGAGCCAAGGCCACCTCTTTTTTTCCCCCAGGTAGGGCTGCACCCTCACTCGAGTTGCAGCACCTTCAGCTTGATGAAGCCCGCTCTGGTTTTGTGCCTGATGAGGCATTTTCCTTATCAACAGTATTTGTTTTAACAACAGAGGGCAAGGTGGTACGTGCTCAGGAATGTGGTCAGACCATTTGCCTTACGTTGATACTAATCGTGTATTTTTGTAAATGGACATATTTATTCATAAAATGTCACAGATACATAAAAGGTGGTTTATATTTATAAATATATTTATATATTTCAAAACCTTATATATAAATTACACTTACACTAACTCTCTGCACCCTGAAGCAAGCATGTGTGTATACACACAAACACATGCTCTGAAGCATCTGCTGCCAGCTCCCAGAGCAATCAATCCATGCATTGAGCCAGGGAGGAGGAAACATCCCAGATGGCTCAGGCCACAACGTGCACTTGCTGCACAGTTCCTGCCTCCTGAATTAAAGACTCAATCTCTGCACTCTGTATCTACTGCATGAAGAAATGATGGGTTGGCAATGCATGTGGCATGGACAGCAGCTGAATGATGGGTCTGCAGAGTCTAGGATTAAGGGCACACATTTTGCTCATTTTGTTTTTTGCAGATTGGAAGAAGATGGATTTAACACCAACCCCCAGCACAGTAAACCTCAGAAATGGAGAACAGGAACATTTTTCTGTTGCATTTCTAAATAATGGGGAATTTATTATCCTAAGAGGGTGTGATGTCAGTGATAAAGTCCTACTCAGTATTTTGGAAGTGTTCTGCTCTGAAGGTATGGCAAGTCTGGGCCCTCAGTCTGTCTGTCCATGTGCCTTCATCAGGGAAAAATTCAAACAATGTTTCAGTTAGTCTAACTTTTTCCTCATTAGCACTTCAGACAAAAATCCTGGAGGGGAAATCTTTGTTCTTTTCAACGAGCAAAACAGAAACACAAGATCTGGCAGGAACGATGCAGAAAATTTTATGCTGAAAATACAGTGCCTCAATTAGTGCAGTATGACAATAGCAATTTGTTTCCTTTTCCCTCCCAGCCCCCCAAGGCAGCTGAAAGTGAACTGAAGCCAAAAGGCAGCCGTGCCCCCACCTTCCTGTGGCACACAGGAGGCCAGGTCTCACCTTCTGGGTCATCCCGGATGACCAGGAGGCCGTTCCTGCACACCACCTTCCCAGTAGAGGCATCGATAAATATCAGGGAAGGAATGTTGGAGACTCTGTACTTGTTCCACAGCTTCAGCTGCAAAAGAGACGGGGAGGGGAGAGGAGAAAGGTAAACTTGGCAGCACGAAGGGGAGGATTTTGGAACGTTAGCACCTCTCAGACCAGAGGTCAGAGCTAAGCAATGGAACACAGCTGGTGCTTTGGCAACGCGCAGGAAGGCATGGGAAGGCTTCTCTCCAGAGCTGCTGGCCTAGCCTGGACCTCCAGCACCCACAGAGACCTGCACCATCAACACCAGCCTCTGGGAACTGCAGCCGAGGCCACCGTTGGTCTCACCTGCTGTGGCCATGCCCGTGAGCACAGGCAGAGCTTCTGCTCTTTGCAGAAAGCACTGGCCTCTCTGCAGGTAAAATGGGAATAATATTTACCATACTTTGAGGTCTTTGTTTGGAAGACATGGTAAGCACAAATACTTTCAATGCCACTGCTCTGAAGCAATTTGTAATGCTTCCCTGGCTGTTTCCTCCCCTCCCACTTCGACGTTCACTACACAAACCAGCAAGCCCTGCCAAGACACAGCCAGGCTGAAAACAAGGCCAGCACACAGAAACACGATTCCTCTGCAACTGGGGCTTCCCGGGTTCCTCCCCAGGAGCTGATGAATGGGTCTGACATCAGCCTGGGGGCCATGCAGCCCAGCTCATCTATCCCACGCCACCAGGCTCAGAGTCCCAGCCAGGAGGGGCAGAAGCTGGCAGGCTGTGGTGGCCATGCTTTGGGCAGCCTGGTGTGGATACTGCACAGCTCTGCTCAGCCTCGATGGCTGAGTGCTCTGGGCGTCACACGGTCCCTGGGCTGACATTTCTCAGCCTGTGCTTCTGGCACAGGGTGATTTGGAGCTTAAGCCACATACAGAAGCTCGCCAGGACAGAGAGGAAGAGGACGACGACAGCTGCTGGCACAGCCCCACGTGCAGGTGTGGGCTGGCTGGGTGCAGAGGAGCTGCTCTCCCCACCACGGAGAACCTGTGATGGAGAAGCTGCTCCCATCACCACGGTTACTTGCATTTCTCTGAGCTTTTCAACCTAAACAGCCCAGCAGTGAATTATCAAACTTTTAAACAAAAGCCAAGCCATAGCTGAGAGCCAGAGGGGAAGGAAATGAATCATCACCTTTCCCTACATCAAGCTCTGCTCTGCAAAGCTCCTCAGGCTCTGGGTTTTTACATCTTGGAGAATGAAACCCAGCCATGGGAGAAGGGCAGGAGGGAACCAACAACAATCCCACCCAGCACCAGCAAGGGTTCAAGCACAAGAGGCAGACAAACCCTCACATGATGTGCTGCTGCTTCCATCAGTATCTCACAGAGAAGCTGGACCCAGTTCCCAGAGGAAGAGGCCACAGCTCTACAGATCACTGTCCCAAATTTCCCAACAGAGGCAATCCCATCTCCTGAGATTGGAATGACCTGGGGACAAAGCAAAGAGGGCAGAAGTGGGATGCAGATCTCACCAGAGATCTAGCTGAGGGAGAAAGTCACATCCACATTCAGGTTTTAATGTCACTTTATTAAGTATATTTTCCAACACATTTTTATAGAAGATGTACTGGATGAGTGACATGTGTCAGGCTGCTTACAAGGGGGTGTTAGCAAACGCTCTCAGGTCTGAAGGAAGTGTTACCACTGATCTAGTGAGACTTAATTTACCTCCATCTACTAGGAACTACAGAGGCAAGGTTTTGGATCATGCCCACCAGCCTTTGATTTCCAATGGACCTGTTTCTTGGGAGAAGTCAACTCATTCACAATGCCTATCCACAAACCAGATGGTCTTGGGCATAGAAAGAAAAAAAGAAACCAATTGCAAGCCAGGCCCCTCACAACAAGCCCACTCAAACCACAGCAGGTAAAATCCACTTGTGTGAGGTTTAAAGGGTGGGGGAAAGCTCTTTATAAGGATTACAGGCATTTAAGAGGGTGTTGCCAATAATGAGGAAATTACAATTAGCAGTCGGCTGATTGTCTTTAAATAGCTGCTTACATTACACTTCATTTGGACAAGCCCTTTGTGTAGGGGCAGCAGCTCCCCTGGGGCACTACCCAGTCCTGGCAGTTTTGCTTGGCCAGGGAAGCACAGGGTCTGTATTTCAGAGCCAAGAGTCTGCATCCACTCGCTGTGCTCAAAGGGATGGGGCTGGGATGCCCCAGATAAAGGGATAAGAACAAGCCACACCAAACCCACTCTCACTGGAAGCACAGGAGCAAGTGGTGCACAGCTGGCTCCAGGCAGTCTACAGGGTCCAGCAGAAATGGCAGCTCTCACCAAAAACTGGGCTGAAACTGCAGAGACTGTCTTGGCTGCCCAGACGTCCCCAGCACAGGCCACCTGCCATTCACATACCCTGTCCCCACGAAATGGAGTTTTGTTGCCACTCCTACACTCATCACTGAGGGTCCACAGGAGAACATCTCCAGAAAGAATGAAGCTAGGCATGTGCTGAAAGGGTCCAAAAGCAGCAAAAAGGTCAACAGGACACCTGCTGCTGCTGCTGTGGGAGCATGTCCATCACTGAGTGTGGAGACCTGAACCCACTGACCTCACGCTCAGACACAACTTGGCAGATGAGTAAAAGCAACAAAACCTGCCAGGTTTTACCTTGCAGCTTTGCAAAAAGGCATCACACAGCTCCCAGACAACACCACCACCACCCCCCCAAACCTCTCACAGCTTCAGACACACGAAGCAGCATTTGCTACCTGTCTGATCACTGAAACTCCTCGTACCACACCAACGAACAGACAGGACTGCACAGAAGACAACTGGAACCAGGCTGCCATTTTAAGCCCGTTTATAAAAGACTTGAATTGCAAATGAGTGGTCTCTCTGCACTAACCATATTAATTGTGCAGTCTGGATCAGACAGCACAGGAATGTGCTGTTGGAAGCGGGAGCAGTTTGGTTTGATGCTTCTCCTGCAGGCTAGGGAAGCTGATGGGGAACGAGAAATGCACACATGCTGCAGGATGAGTGCCAGGATCTACCACCACCCCACCAGCACAGCCCCCTTCAGCCAGACTCAGCTTCCCAAAGCCTGTTGGACACTTCTGAAGGAAGCCCAGTGGCTCCTTTTACTGCAAGTCTGCCCTGAAAGAGCAGCACTTTGACAGGGAATGGGCCTGGCTCATTTTAGCTGGGCTTTTTGGATAAGATAGCTCGCTACAGGATTCCAGGGCCACTACTTGGCAGCTGAACTACAGCTCCCAGCAAAGAGAGCCCATCTCCACCTAACGCCTCTGAACGCCAGGATGACCTAACCCATCTCAGGGCAAGCTACTGCACCAGTTAGCTTTTCTCAGGGTGTAATGCCAGGGGTTGGCACACGTGAGGGTTCTGGAAAGGAGACAAACTCCTCCTTGGCACACCAGCAGGTATGTGGTTGCGGTCCACGCAGGAAGGGGAGAAAAGGCATCCCTTGCACAATGACCTGCAGAACCAGGCACCTCGCAGAGGACCCTGTGTCAGGCTGGCCACGGGATGCAGAAAGCAAATTATGACTTGCTTTGAAACCACAGGATGATGGGATGATAGCTCAGGCAGCAGGGCAGAGTGCTGCCTCAGCAACTTTTAAAAGCTGGTTTTCCTGCCGTGAAGAGGATGACATAGAAATAACACACTCTACACTCTGAGGATTTGATCATCCATTTAAAGAGGGGATCTCTGCTCCGCTTCCCAACAGCTGTTGCAAATCTGTGGGATCAGGCCAAAGCTAACACAGATGTGAAAATAATCTACGGGCTATTCAGCCTGCAAGCAGCTGATCCTCTCGGAGCGCCCTTCGCTCCCGGCTCAGGCTGTATGCCTCCTAAACTCAGTGCTGGCCACAGGGTGCCCGCTGGGGAAGGAGCGAGGACACGCAGCCCCTCGCAAGACACCCAGCCCCTCACAGGACATGCAGACCCTCCCAGGACACCCAGCCCCTTGCAGGACACCAGGACAGGCAGCCCCTCGCAAGAGGCCGTACCGGCTCATCAGCACTGCAGAAACCTCGCTGGCTCCTGGGCAGGTGGTTAAGTGCAGCAGTCCAGTGGAAAAACCAGAGTCACCAGATTCCTCTGGTAACTTTATCCCTGTGATGGAGGACCTGGAACCCGCAGCCCTGGGCTCCCTCTGCAGCTCCATCCACCACCGGCCGCGGGAGGCTTTAAAATGGTCACTGGTTATTTGAGGTCCCAGGCGCTCCGAAGATGTCGGGTCACGCAGCAGCACTCGGCACCGGTGGCAGAGCTGCTCTCTGTGCTGGCAGCTGGCTCAGCTATTTCCCCCACCCTCAAGACTGGGAAATGCCTGCCCGAGACACGCTGGAGAGAAGCCTGCAGACAGCCACAGGGATTTTTCCAGCTGAAGGTGTCAGACACCAGGTCTCCCCAGCAGCCCGCGGCTGTTTCTGTGCAGGGCTGGCACACGGCCGGGGCAGATGAAATCCCCCTCCTGCTCTGCAGTACCAGCAGGGAAGGGATCCCCAGCTCCCAACAGCTGCCGGGCACTATTTTTGGTTGTGCTGATGGATTTACCAGCCCTGGTGGCGTTCAGTTACTACCACAAATCCTGAGCTGCAGTGGTTTGTGCTGGCAGACAAAGCACAACTGCTTGCAGTGAAACCAGCCCCGGCCGGTGGGAAAGTGGTTCTCCCACCCTCTCTGGGGGGGACTGTTTCTCTCCACTCTTGTGTGAACTGGGACCATAAAACCTCTCATGCCTCCATCTTCCATAGGACATGGAGCTGCCTCTGCATGGGAGGCATGGAGGTTTCAGAGGCATCTGCCTGTGCCAGCAGCAGGGAGGACACTGCCTCTGCTCATCTCGCAGCTCAGCCTTCCACCGACCAGCAACAGCCAGACAAAGCTGGTTTTGAAGCAGATCCCTCAGCAACAACGAACACATTCCCAGTGCAGATAGCTGCTGCTTTCTGCTAAATGAAACACAAAGCCAGTTCTTTCCCGAAAATCCACCCCTGGAGGCAAGACCCCCAGGTCTGGGGAACTCCTTGGTGCTGGAAAAGATCTTGTTCTCCAACAGGCCCGAGTGCCCAGCCGAGAGCACCGAGACATTTCCATTACAGACACGAGCTCCCTCCTTGCTGGTCTCTTGTTCCAGAGCCATAGGCTGAAATATCAAGCGTGAGGAACGCACAGGCAGTGCTCAGGTAGAAAAGCACCCTTGATCCAGGGCTGCAGAGACCAGCAGAGCCCACTTCTCACAGCTCTGCAGACCAGCTCGGAGCTGGTGAGACAAGAAGGGCCATTCCCACTCCCACCACCCCGCTCCCATGGTCCAGCGCTGCAGGGGA